AGGAGGCTGCGTCGACCATATCTTTACTTTACTTCGATTGCTGGAGCACCGCAATACTTATTGGTGACCCGCTGTAGTCATGTTTCCCTGCATCAAAACTGCCTTCCGTTCGGTGGATCGATGTGCCCATTTGGGACTGTCTGTTCAGAAAACCTGTGCCAAAAAATAGGTACATGTTATACGGGCACTGTACGCTCATTGTTCAAGCTGAATGAGGGCTTACGGCAAACTGTCGACACCCTTCAATATTAGCAGCGGTGTGGACAAGGATGCTCGCTGTTTCCTTTTTAATAAAGTCAATAGACTTGCGTTTACTTACCACGACCAAAAAGGTGTGAAGCTGCTTCCTGATGAGCGACTTCTTGACTTTGAGTATGCTGACGATATGGCACTAATCTGTGAGGGCGCTTTAACCTGCCAAGCAGCATTGGACATATCAGCACTGGCCCTCAGTTGCTTTGGGCTTTGCTTTACTCCCTCGAAATGCAAAGTCCTTCAGGATTAACAATGACCCATTACTGCGCTGACCCTTTGTGATGTTCAGGTAGAAGTCGTTCGAGGATTTGAGTACCTGTGCAGTGATATTGGCGCCTGTGGGATCGAAGATGAGGTCACGAAGCGTATAGCAAAAGCTCGACATGCTTTCGTCAATCCCCGACACCCCTGGCGCCAGCGCGACACCACTCCTGCCCTGAAGGGCAGAGTTAACAATGGGGCATTCCGTTCAGCCATCCTGAACGGTTAGGAAATCTGGCCCATCAGGTCGACAGACATAAAGAGGCTAGGTACGTTCGACCATCGCTGCCTTTACAACTTTGTTGTTGCGTGTTGGAAGCACCGCGTGAACTATGAATGTGTTCGGCATTGTGTACTTGGTGCAGGAAGTGCGAGTGAACCGCTCAGCACCATTATATCACTCCACAGGCTCCGATGGCTGGGCCACGTGTTGCGCATGCCAGCACACCGACCCCCGTGTCGTGCGTTGTTTGCGCGCCCGTGGTCTATATGGAAGAGGAGGAGGAGAGGCCAGGTGATGACTTGGTCGAGAAGAATGAAGCCGTCACTTCGAACTTGAAGTCTGTTGATGCATCCTGATTGCTGGGCTGGCATCCGAAGGACGATGAACACGTTTGGCTGAACACAGTTGCTGACATGTCTAGGAGCCGACCATAGTGGTGTATGTGTTGTGAGTTTCTTCGTCCATCTCTCACTGTAGATCCCTCTCCAGTTACGATCTTGTGGCAAATGCATCACATGTGTTTACATTGTAGTACTTAGTTTTTGAATAATTTCCGTATTTCACTTGTTAGTATGTTATCTTTTTATATTACGGCACATTAGTTGAGGTGTGTTTCTCACCCTTAGCTATCGTGTGTTGATTATGATTATGTGTCGTGCCCGGTAACAGAACTAGCTGGTTGATATCGCTCTCGAGATTGTGGCAGTACCAATAAATTGCAAGATGGCATCTTCCTGCGCCACGTGCTTAGGACCTGATTGTAATGAGACTAGATAAGCTACTGGGTGTGGTAATTATGAACAAGTTCGATTACGCACAGAAAATGGACTTCATGTTCAACGATGCAAGCAAATTCGAACGGCTCAAGATGGATGTGACCGAGGAGGAGGTCCACTTTATCCGTTCGGTTGATAGGCTCCTCTTTCACCATGTGATAGTGCTACTTATACCAGTTTACAGTCTAATGGCTCAATTATTCAGCAGTTGTATAGGTCGTCGAGAACAGAATAGTGGTAGATGCGCCTCGACAAAAACTAACTCCTTGTCTCGTGACGATGAAGAATCGTCACTGAAACTGAACTGAATCGTCAACTGAAACTGTTGGACAGCCCATACAGTCTTAATGACTCATTGGAAGTTATCGGTGACCTCTATGCGATCAACCTGTTACTCAAGATCTGTTCCTTTGAAATAAAATCTCTTCACTAGCATCTCTCTACTTGAGACCAGGAATGGCGTGTGAACTAACTGGACACTCCGGTTGGTTTTTGTCGGTTCTCAAATTTCTGCTTGATACCCTGCTGTTATGCACGGATAATGTCGACTTTCACTTTCAGAACGCACCACACCGCAAAGTCGATGGGTGGCAATGGGAAGCCCACTATGTCCCCTACTGTCAGATTTCTTCATTCTTGTGATCGAAATAAGATTGTCCTTAGAGATAGGGTAGGTGTTTTGTTACAGGCGCTATGTTGATGACATTTTGGCCTTCCCTTTACCAGAACAGCAGATCGCTCAGGCGGTAGAATGCTTTAACTGTACCCATATCAACTTTCGGGCTATTCGCGTGGAAGAACGTTGAAATCATCTGCCATTCTTGGATATTCTTATCAGTCACAAAGCGGACGGACAAGTTAGGAGATCTATCTACCGAAAAATAACATGGTCTGGCCATTACGCGCATCTCGCCATCTTTACACAATGCGGTAAAAGCGGACACTTGTGAAAATCTTGCTTTGTCGTGCCAGACCAATTTGCTCTGCTGACTACCTAGCTGATGAATTGGAACGAACTACAACCCCACTGATATCGAATGGTTACCATCCAAGATTTATAAAGGAGCACAATCAACCACAAAGGTGAAAGGACTTGTTATTAAAGGCAGCCAATAAGAAAATGTATATCGATTAACATTTAAAGAGTGACTGTCACGCTTGGTCATTTGATCGCTGCTGCGCATAGGACATACCATGCCGCTCAAGTTGTCGTCATCAACCGAACCAGAAATTTGCCGCTACCTACGCCGAAGGAAGCTGCCACTTGGCTCTGGATCTCATTGTGTACAACAATTTTCATGGACTTTGGTGTCAGTTACAAGTGCAGAACAAATAGGGTTGCTAAACTGGGTCCCAATCCTCCCCACAATTTCAGCTTCCGATTGCTGACATACAACGCTCCACCGGATTGAGGCAAAGGGTAGTCGCGAGTCATATCCACCACGCCGCAGTGTTGTTAAACAGACGTGTGGCCTTTTAAGGGTGGGGCGCTTGTCAGGCGAAAGCTCACCACTTCCAGTAACACTGCCGTCCAACCGTTGGCTGGAACGGGATAGTCCCGTACCACGTAGCGTGCACCACGAAAAGGTTCTTCCGCAAGCCAGCCTTGTCAATCACCTCCAGTTCTCACTGTGTAAACCAGTTTACATGTGACTTACGGAATCAGTTTCAAGTGCATAGGCGATAGGGCATTGTCATTCTGGATAAGGGAACGTAGTATGGAGTAGATCCTACGTGTAGTTGACCCGCAGCCCTACCCTCCCCAGGCCACGTCGTTCCTTATACTGCCGACATCTTCGATACGTAAACCTATTCATTACTGGTCATCGGATACAACTCGATTCTATGCCACTCTGATCCGCAATTTCTACGGTCCTCTGAGGCTATCGCGATTAGTCGAATAAGCCAATGCTGTGTGTGCACAAACGGTAATTCATCAGCTTCATTTTTGAATTTCAGGTTTGTTTGTTTTGCCATATCTACCGTTTGGTATAGTTTCTTATAGGCTATTCTTAGCGGTATTGAGAAGACACTAAGAGATACTCCCATCTACTATTTGTCCCCTTGCCATGGTTTTCAAATTGCTGAAAGGAACTGATCGCTTTCATTATTACTTATTTTTGGAGAGATCATTTTGAAGCATTTCTTTGGGTCGTTCCATCTAATTGTGGACCGCGATAATCATTGAAACGAATCTTGGTCAGTCCTATCACTGCGAGCGTTACTGAAGGGATATATATTGGACGGACAACATCCAATCTCTATCTAATATTTTTGTTATTTCTGGCTCTGGCGAGTTGTCTATCAGAATATAACGAATTTTTCATGCTCGGCGCTTACCTTACTGACAATGCACAACACTGTTAGTATCAACTGCATAATCCTCCAGTTCCTAAATCAATGCCGCTTCCTCCGGGTCGCATTCAACAGTGAGCACCTCTGAACCATCTATAATTAACTCATTCCGGTTCATTTGGGATGAGAGAGAGCAAAATCGAAAAACTGCATTCCGGTTCACTTGTTGACCCATCGAATCTCGTGCATTCCTGAACGATATTTACGCCCAACCAACTGTTATTCATTGGGCATTTTAACGTTCCAGCCACTCCTTGCACCGGTGGCAAGTAGCAAAGGTATTGACAGTACCTCAATACTCCTTACTGATGCTTCGTGCTAGACAGCCGCAAGCATATCTATGATTTAGTGATTACAGGTTATACTTTCATCTGGCGCTTTAGTAACACTATTTCAAGTTACCTTTTAATGAAGTGATATGGAATAGTATCAACATCAAAAGTGGATTCAACCTGTTTCGCAAGTGATAGCAGCAGACTGAATCACACTTGAAATTGATACTCAGCATCCAACTTTTTAAACCCTAGAGTAGATCAATTACCCATCTTTTGCGCCAATTTCCGCGTACTTCTACTTGCGTGAATAATGTGAATTGTACTGCATAAACGGCCAACATACTGTTTGACGCGATACACTGGATGATTCACAAATGTTCTTTCTTTTTCTCTCTGGCTTCTGGTTCCCCTTACTTTTGCTCCCACTGCAGAAGCTTTCATTTTTATACGCGCTTTTATCTCCATTATTTCTCCATCGTACGTTTTATCACTGGATTGCAGCCCACATTTTCTTATTCCTGTGTACATACACACTTTATGCTCTAAACATAACCAGGGCCATGTGACCCTCGTTCGGTAGTTAGCGGTTAGCTGGAGCGCTCTCTCTTCACTCTCACGCAGTAGTCACCCGTCTTCCTGTGTACCACTAGCTTGCATATAATCGATTGTGAAACTCATTGCCTACCAGTTCTCAAAAATTCCCGGATGTATTTGGTTTTCCGAATGCGGGCCAATTGCAGTTGACCGACATTTGGATAATTTCTTTTTTGCCGTGATTCGTCCGCCAGGGCCAAATTCAATTATGGTTTATATCGTGGCATCCCCTAATTTACCTTTCATTTGCTCCTTCCATAGCGTAACGATTATGGCCCATTTCTGATTGTGGCTCCTCTTTCAACTCTGCTCAACTGGGAACGGGAGTTCAATGTCTGGGCCCCGGACTTTCACGTCATTGTTTACTCTGGAGAACGCAGCGTGCGGACAGCATTCCAGTGAGTTTTATGCCTTATCATTACCTACTGATGTAGTTGTTTAATCTGATATTTCAAACTGGAAGTAGAATAAATCCTGCAGACTTAGTTTTAATGTCGGTCCGTAGCCTAGTGGTAACAAGCCTGTCTCGTAATCTTGTGGCGCAGGTTCGAATCCGCGTAAGGGTGGGCGTCCTCGCGGTATATTCAGCCAGCGTGCGGCTGGTGGTGGTCGCACGACGGCGAAGCGCCGTTACGGCGTACAGCTGACGCATATTATTTCTTGGTTTTAATTGAATTCACCACAATCTCGCTCAGTCAAGCAGCCACTGCGCATCCGAAAATGTACCGGAAAGCTGTTGCACTCTTTCGGAAATCTTTAGCAGTGCGCATCCCACCTGTCACGGCCTACTCTTCTGAGTCAATGCTGAAGGCCACATAACCACAGGGGCGGCCACTACAGACGGGACCAAGCGACTAGAAAGTTACTCAAGAATGATTGCCGGTGACAGGCAGTAACGCGTGATTCTGTATTAAATGACTCGCACCATATTACAACTAAGAACCTATTCATGTCGACCAAGTGGTCTCAACCTTTGGGTCATAAGCGTAAGGTTGTGAATTCTATCTCCACAGGCAGCAGATGGGCTACGCACTGCTCACTTATCCCTAATGGATGAAACAGCAATTCAGCGCTTTTCTGGACGTATAAAGACCACCTGACTTTATCCATACGTGATGAATACAATTTGTATCCCCCATCTACTCCCTTGCAGTCTACCTGTTCTTTGGGCGTCACTTATCATCCCAAATTACATTCGTTTATTGGATTTCAGTAGTTGCCATTCGCTCAGTCATGCTTATTCGTTGCTTCTCTTTACATCACTGACCCTGCGTATTGGCCCACCTCTTCCCATCAAGATTGTCATGCAACCAGATCATCATACAATCGTTTATCTTCCGTCCAACTGACACCAGTGACTTCTCTGACTCCCATTAACTTTTACTTCGTCGTAATCAGTCGATTTTTCCTCACTGTGCTTGTCCTGTCCTTTGTATGTGCGCGGGATCAGGATTTACCAGGTGTTTCTTCGCGGAACTCATCACCTAAAGCCATCCACGCAACATGTCCTCTGAGCGTTTTGTTGATGAGCTGGGCCTGAAAGTTCATCTCAGACTGTACCTTTTACATTGCTATCTAGCTTAGCTGATTTAACAATGTTTCACTAGACAGCAACATGCTAGCGCGAACTTATACATGCCCACACAATTTATTATAGTTGTTAGGTTTTCATCAGCCTGGTTACTATGCTTCAGTTTGTTCTTTTACCCTCCCACAGAGATTACGAATTTCGTATACCCAATTCTGGTGGGGTCCCTGCTTTCCATGTCTTGATAACTAGCCATGAGCTGGCTTGCATCGAACGTTCTTGTCTTCAGAGCTTTGATTGGAGTGTTTTGGTCGTCGATGAGGCTCATCGCTTAAAAAACAAACAGTCAAGAGTGAGTGTTATCGCATTCGGTGGAGTTGTTCCTTGTTGTTTCCAAAGTTGAACGATCGGATTCGCGCATTTCGACCTGCTGTCAACTAGGAATCTGTAAATTCACTACCGTTGTGTTCTAGAGGTCTCCAAACTACCTGCTGATACTGGTGCTCGGATTGGTTATAACCGATGATTTAAGGCGGCAGCCACTGTGAATGGGAAATTACGCGGGTCACTTTCGAAGCCAGCATTGTAGTTCTATCGTCCCCATTTAGTTCCCTGCTATTGTCCTTCACCATCTTAACAATCTTCATTGGAAGCTGACGGATACGATTTCGGTGGATGGTCGTAATTCTGATTGCTCACGCTTCAGCGCACGTTGCTACTCGTGTCACAATGGCTCGTGGAGCTTTTCAAACTTTACCTCCTAAAAAACCGAAGTCATCCCAGCCTGTCCGCTAGAGACAACACTCAGTAATGGCTATTAGTGTTCTTGTGCGTGTCTGACAATCTGTAACTGTGCAACGGAGACACTAAGTGAGTGCTCGCATGTGAACAACGACGTTTGAGCCATTTCCGTAACCTTGAACTGCCTGCGCTGCTACTTGGCGTTTTGTGAATGATTTTTGATTATACCTTGTTTACTACGGGTACTTCTGGTTACGAGACACCGACTATAATTTAATAGACACCACTCCATCGATAAGAAATCTGAGCGACATGGATAGAACTCTGCTCTAGGGTCAACTGCTTGAACCAGGCATCCAGTGTTTCAAAGTGCATACACTTACGAGTATCGTACGATGTCAAACAGTTAGCGTCCCTGCAAAACTAAAGTGACATTGGAGGGGCATATTCCTTACCAGTCTAACTACCTCTCGTTAGATCATTATCTAGCGAAGAAAGCCAACAAATCCAACTGTAAACTGATTCATATTGTCGCTCTGGTCGATGGCCAGAGAACCGATTGCAACATTGAGTGGGACGTCTTGCGTCTTTATTACCGAAGATCTAGTGACGTTTGTATTCACTCTCGCTCCTACAGCTGCTCTTCCCGTAGCCTGGTAACGAAGGGTTCTTCAATCTTAATTTGACTTTTTGTTTTATCTATTGAATAAATAAACTCTTCTTTTTGATAAGTTCGAGGCACACCACTGTAGTTACAGATTTTGAGCTGTTCTCCGAGCTGAGTGATTATTGTGCATACGTTTCGTTGCCTGACTAAGCAACATCATCAGTGCGGCTTCAGGGGCCTGGTTCACAGTGCCTCGTAAGCGACTTCAATGTCCAAGTGCTTATTGATGTTACCTAGTCAGGCAACGAAACGTCTGCACAGTAATCACTCAGCTCGGAGAACAGCTCAAAATCCGCATCCACACGCCGAGCTAAGCATATTCTCATTTATTTCACACCACTGTAGTTTTCAGTACTACTGTTAAGTGAGATTTTTCCCCTGATTCCAGGTTTATGCAGTGAGCCGAACCACTGTTTTCCGTTGGCGTCCAATTAATCTCTTTTATCCGTTTTTCAGCTTTTCAAAGAGGCCAGCCAGTACAAAGCTAGTTTTAAGATCCTGCTTACTGGCACACCGTTGCAAAATAACTTGGAAGAATTGTTCCACTTGTTGTACTTTGTGGAACCCAAAACCGTCACGTAAGTGCCCCGTTTTTCCACTATGCTCTGCCTTATTCTGGGAATTTCTGCAAGATTTTCCACTAGATTGAGTTCGTAATCTGCTGTATTTTCTTGCAGTATTTTCTGCCAGCCGCAGGGGATGGGGATGAAATTCATCAATTCCGAGGATTATTCTTATTACATTTCACCGTTAACACTGCTTCCGATTTATTCCACTGAGCATGCCAAATCTCCATTTCCTCTTGCACAGTGACTTTAAAACTCTGACCGAGAAATGGGCGCATATGCCAAAGGAGGAACGTATCAATAGTCTTCATTGCCAGCTGAAGAACCATCTCCTTCGGCGTCTGAAAGCTGATGTTATACGTGATTTGCCAAAGAAGTCCGAAATCTCGGTTATGGTAGATATGTCTGTGTTACAAAGGTACCGATTGGTGCTTGTTTTCATCGTTTTGTCACTCACCTACTGGTGCGTGTTGCCCTTCCCACTCTTTATGGTTCTCCACTCTCATTCACACTATCAGTCTCTGTACCAGGTCTCCTCCTTAAACATCTTGACCCGTTGAATGCATTTTATTAAACTTACTCGGTTCAACACTTTTTTTACAGGCACTGGTGCCAAACTTAGCTCAAATTCTGATGGTCAAAGAAGTCCCTTCTTTCAGGAACATGGTCTCTGTTACTGGGTCATAAGATGCATTATTAAACCACTTACTCAGTTTATCTTGAAACAAAGTTTCAAAAATGAATAGCACTATTTTGTCATCTGCTTGCGGATACAATCCTTCTGCTTGTTATCTCCTGTAGTTTAGGTCTGTTTAAAATATATGGTTGGTTCTCAAGATTCGCAACCCACAGTTTATTCTGATACAACGCCTTGGACTCTAGTATTGGCATTTTGGAAGGACATGAATTATTTCGTTCGCATCGTTTTGTCTGTTCTATGTTTACCGCATCTTATTTCCATGTTGCTTCGCTTATCTTTTAATACTACTCTACTTTGTTCTTCACAACTTTTCCCGTCACAATCAGCAACACACTACGATCCGTGGATCATAAATGCTTCCAGAACTTTAACCAACGTTCTATCACCCAGTATCACTCGTTTCGAGCGACACCAGTGTGTCCACATTAATCAGGTGTGTAGCCAAACACCAGGCGGCTGTAGTCAGGTCTTTTCGTCAACCCATCAAATAAGCATAAGTTGCGTTGCTCGAGAGAGTATTAGGGTATTTATTATGTTTTTGAGAAGATTCGTTGCAGGCATACACCACACATCCAGGAAAGCGTTAGGAAGTTGTCTTGTTCTATTACGACTTGTCACTAACGCGCATCCGCCAGATCCTGCTGTATCCGAACCTATGACCTTGTTCTTACGTGTCAGCGACTTGTGCCACTGAGTCATGGCGATGGCCGCCTGCCATGATTACTAACTGCGATGTAGCGCGACTCATCCTTCACTACCATGTGTACTATGAGCATGCCATTGCAAAAGTCGCTGATTCGTAAGAGCAAGTTCATGGGTTCTGATTCGGGAAGATCTGACAGGCGTGCGCTGCTGACGAGCTCCAATGGGACGAAACGGCTGTCTAGCGCCTTCCTGGATGTGTGATGGCTGTCTGGGTGATTTTAGCTGCGACGAATCTCCACAAAAATATGTGTTACTTTACGCAGTTGCCTCCTTGGCCGACCTTGCTGCTTACTGAGAGAAGCAGCAGTATGTTTGGCGGCTGGAAATGAAGTGTTTGACGACCAAACTGAGTTTCGATGTTGCTGGTTGCTAACACTTACCGCACAACTGGTTTCATCCTCGTGACGTAGAGATAAGTAGAGCTGGGGTTGGAACTCGGGAGCTAATGAATAATGGTTGATGCCTTGATCACTAGGCCACTGAGATCCTTGAGCTACACTTGCTACAGCGGTCAGCTTTTCAAGTTTGGCTTTGGGGTTACCGCCATGGGGTTGTATGCTGTTAATCCATCTTATCTACAATGCGGAAAGGCACTCAATTCACATAATGCTCTACTCCAGTTACTGGACCTGGTTCTTGCTTGGTACTAATATCTCCTTTGTCATTGTCTCTTAGTCAAGTTGACTGTTTCCAGTTTGTTCGGGTAGATGGTGTTCATAACTGCGTGATTAAAACAACAGCGGACCTATCCCGCCGATGACTCCCGTCTTCGCAAGTAGATCGAAGTGACAGCTGTGCGTAGTTTACGAAGCGCAGCCGCCCTGATCCTGATCTTTTACCTAGATCACTTGGTTCTAATGTTAGATTACCTTCACTCCTCCTCTGATAATGCATGGTGAGGTTTACTTAAAAGTGTTTTAGAATGAACATTTTTTCTTTCATTTGCTTGCGTTTACCTACCAACTGTTATTGTGTGTTACGAACTCACGTTGTTGATTATCATTTCGATATTCTGTACCACTGCTTTGGCCTGTGCATCCTTTACTTAGAGAAAATTTTTACCGATTTATGGAGTAGTGATGGAATGTGAGCCTAATTGCTCAGACCTTACAATCACTTGCTCTCTCAACTCGCTGATGGTCGTGTGATGGTTATGCAGCACTAATTGGACCATGAAGCCCTTTTCATTAGCTCGTTCCATAACGAAATTCGAGCGGCAGATGGATAGGCAGTTTGTCCAAGAGGTGACGTTGAGAGTTATTTAAGTATTTTCTGTGAGTCGATAGTCTGCAATGGAGTGCGTCGCTTGGAATCCTCCTCGTACGTTCATTCCTGATGCATTTGACTTTTAGAACGGTATTGTCAGTTTTCTTGAAAGGTGTTTATGAGTAGCGTAAGGTTCGTAGAAAGTAGAAGTCAAGATTAAACTGCGCACAATAATTTGCCTCGACGGGGAATCGAACCCCGGTCCCACGAATTGCCGGTCCGCTGCTCTACCACTGAGCTACCGAGAGCTGACGATTAGGTGCGCAATTTAATACATGACTTCTGCTCGGTGCGCGACGTATTGCCAATGAGCTCACAGTAACTGTCCTGGTGTTGCAGATTGGCTCACTCACTCGTCACTTCCCAAGGGACCGAAGTAACTGTCCTTCTGAAGTCCAAAGGGCGATGGTAGATTACTTGAAAGGTGTTTGTGAGTAGCGTAAGGTTCGTAGTTTTCAAAATCAACTGAGTAGGTGGAAGTACCATTTGATATAGTTGACTTTTTAACCTCTTCCAATGAGCCTTATTGATCCAACTAGGTTTCTCGCAAAGTAATCTTTTATCCTGAAACCTTAGTCTCTTCTGTACGACATCCGAGCGGTTTTCCGCAGACATAGCTGGACGACGATGGCTAGTCTTCCATTTTTGATTCACACAGTAGCATACGCTATCTTGCAGCTTGCACCATACTTTTTAGTGGTTAGACAATGTTCCGCCGTTACCATGAGTCCACTTGTTACGCATACCAGCACACTGACTCTCGCGACGTGCGTTGTTTTCATGCCGGAGATGCGGTTGGAGGAGGAGCACGGGAGGCTAAGCGGTGGCTTGGTCGAGAGAAGTGAAAACCCTCACTTCGAAGTTGGCGTCGGTTGGTGCATCCGACTACCTGGCTGGTGTCCCCAGGACGATGAACACGTTTGATTGCACACACCTGCTGATTTGACAAAGAGCCGGCCCCACTGGCGTTTGTGTTGTGGGTTTCTTGGCCCACTCCATCCCCTTTAGGTTCCCTCTTCAATTGCGATATCAGGCGAAATGCATAATATTTAACATTATATTACGCTTTCTGAGTTTTTTTGCAGCGTAGTTTTTTAGTACCTTATCTTTTTATATTGCGGCACATTAGTTGAGGTGTCTTGCTCACCCTCGGCTAACGCGTGCTTATGATGATGATGCAGCCGCTACCTTTCCAATGTTTTCACTATTGCTTCGATGTAATCCCTTGTCTGACTGAACCGATCCACCACTTCCAATCGTCGTTCCATGGTCTCCAAAGCTGGGGACGCTCCGATCCACTCTAAAAGCTGCATTTCACGCTTTAATGCTTTTGGCACACCGTTTATGGTGCAGCTGTCTGCTTTAGCCATTCGGCAACCATTGTATCACAACTGGGCCCGATTCCTTGATGACTACATCGTCCTCATACTGTTTTTAGTAGATTATTTGACAGTATTTATAGTTCAGCAAAGTAAGATATCGAAAAATCATCCACCGATTTTTTGGTCATACGCTTCAGGAGGTGAAAGGGAAAACAGCAACCCTACCGCACTCCACTTACCGTTGTGATTTCAGGAGGTAGCTGCCCGGGTAGTCGCAGTTTAGACCACCCTCGTCGTCATTCTACATGTTAGCTAGTGGTAAGAAATACTTCGTCTTAATAAAATGCAGTAAGAGTTTCGAAATCTGATAGATAGATAATAATTAGTAGAGAGTGCAAAATGAAAACAAGCTGTATTATGCAGAGGGATATTGGGTGTTAAACGCCCAAAAACACTGCACTCCACGACCGATTTTAATCTCATCAGGTAGTGATGGCAGACACTCATGTGGTGTCAGTAAATGCTCTACTCTTAGACTATTGAGTTCAGCTTTTTGCCATATCCAACCAAACGTGCTCATCGTCTTTCGGACCCCGACCCGGGAGTCGAGAGGCTCCAACCGAGGCTAGCATCAAAGTGATGACCTTCATTCCTTTTGACCAAGTCATTGGTTGGCCTACCCTCCTTCCCTCCTTTCATCCAGATTCTGGTAGCGCAAACAACGTTCGTCGCAGTAATCCGTTTTCTGACATGCGTAAGACATGGCCAAGCCATCAGAGCCTGGTGCGTGAAATAACGGTGTTGAGTGATTCACTCGAGATGCCGGACACGCTCATTGTGCACGCGATGTTCCAACCAGATATGACCTCGATTGCGAAGACAGCAATGGTCGATCATAACCAGTCTCTTTATATCGGACGAGCCTGTTTTCGCAATTCTAAAGAAGTGTTGAACGCACTGCCGCCTTGCATACTCTGCCTTTCAAGACGTAACTGACGTCACTCTAGCACCACATGTGGTGTGGATTGTCAAAACCACCTCGATCTTTTACAGTACGTTTGGTGATTTCCTTTTCCGTTCCTTTGCGCCAATATAACTGCCGAGGTACTTGAATTTCTGTATGACTTCTAGCTGAATTTCGCCAAATGTCAGTGCAAAGGGCGGTCTTTGTAGGAATGCTCTACTTTTGGATTGTCAAAACATAATCGGAAACGATTGACAGTGCTAATTTGTTCGGTGCTGCTTGGCACGCCTGGGAGCCGTCACAGGTTAAGCAATTATCATTAGCACACCCCAAGTGGAGAAGTCGATCACCTGGGGGCAGCTTCACACCTCGGCCTGGGGTGGTGTTCGGTAAAGAAAGTTTCCATTACTTCGTCAACCCTGTCTCAAACATCTGAAGATATTGAAGGGCAACGTAAACTC